CCATTTTTTGACTGGGTTGTTTGTTTTTGTTTTGTTGTTTTTGTTTTTGTAACATCTTTATTGGGGTATAATTGCTTTACAATGGTGTGTTAGTTTCTGCTTTATAACAAACTGAATCAGTCATACATATACATATGTTCCCATATCTCTTCCCTCTTGCGTCTCCCTCCCTCCCACCCTCCCTATCCCACCCCTCCAGGCGGTCACAAAGCACCGAGCTGATATCCCTGTGCTATGCGGCTGCTTCCCACTAGCTATCTACCTTACGTTTGGTAGTGTATATATGTCCATGCCTCTCTCTTGCTTTGTCACAGCTCACCCTTCCCCCGCCCCATATCCTCAAGTCCGTTCTCCAGTAGGTCTGTGTCTTTATTCCTGTCTTACCCCTAGGTTCTTCATGACATTTTTTTTTTCTTAAATTCCGTATATACGTGTTAGCATACGGTATTTGTCTTTCTCTTTCTGACTTATTTCACTCTGTATGACAGACTCTAGGTCTATCCACCTCATTACAAATAGCTCAATTTCGTTTCTTTTTATGGCTGAGTAATATTCCATTGTATATATGTGCCACATCTTCTTTATCCATTCATCCGATGATGGGCACTTAGATTGTTTCCATCTCTGGGCTATTGTAAATAGAGCTGCAATGAACATTTCAGTACATGACTCTTTTTGAATTATGGTTTTCTCAGGGTATATGCCCAGTAGTGGGATTGCTGGGTCGTATGGTAGTTCTATTTGTAGTTTTTTAAGGAACCTCCATACTGTTCTCCATAGTGGCTGTACCAATTGACATTCCCACCAGCAGTGCAGGAGTGTTCCCTTTTCTCCTGGGTTGTTTGTTTTTTTGATATTGAGCTGCATGAGGTGCTTGTAAATTTTGGAGATTAATCCTTTGTCAGTTGCTTCGTTTGCAAATATTTTCTCCCATTCTGAGCGTTGTCTTTTCATCTTGTTTATGGTTTCCTTTGCTGTGCAAAAGCCTTTAAGTTTCATTAGGTCCCATTTGTTTATTTTTGTTTTTATTTCCATTTCTCTAGGAGGTGGGTCAAAAGGATCTTGCTGTTATTTATGTCATAGAGTGTTCTGCCTATGTTTTACTCTAAGAGTTTTATAGTGTCCGTTTTTACATTTAGGTCTCCAATCCATTTTGAATTTATTTTTATGTATTATGTTAGGGAGTGTTCTAGTTTCATTCTTTTACATGTAGCTGTCCAGTGTTCCCAGAACCACTTATTGAAGAGACTGTCTTTTCTTCATTGTATATTCTTGCCTCCTTTATCAAAGATAAGGTGACCATATGTGCGTGGGTTTATCTCTGGGCTTTCTATCCTGTTCCATTGATCTATATTTCTGTTTTTGTGCGAGTAGCATATTATCTTGATTACTGTAGCTTTGTACATAGTCTGAAGTCAGGGAGTCCGATTCCTCCAGCTCCGTTTTTTTCCCTCAAGATTGCTTTGGCTATTCGGGGTCTTTTGTGTCTCCATATAAATTTAAAGATTTTTTTGTTCTAGTTCTGTAAAAAATGCCACTGGTAATTTGATAAGGATTGCATTGAATCTGTAGATTGCTTTGGGTAGTATAGTCATTTTCACAATATTGATTCTTCCAATCTAAGAACAAGGTATAACTCTCCATCTGTTTGTGTCATATTTGATTTCTTTCATCAGTGTCTTATAGTTTTCTGAGCACAGGTCTTTTACCTCCTTTGGTAGGTTTATTCTCAGGTATTTTATTCTTTTTGTTGCAGTGGTAAATAGGATTGTTTTCTTAATTTCTCTTTCTGATCTTTCATTGTTAGTATATAGGAATGCAAGAGATTTCTGTGCATTTTGTACAACTTTACCAAATTCACTGATTAGCTCTAGTAGTTTTCTGGTGGCATCTTTAGGATTCTCTATGTATAATATCATGTCATCTGCAAACAGTGACAGTTTTACTTCTTCTTTTCCAATTTGTATTCCTTTTATTTCTTTTCCTTCTCTGATTGCCATGGCTAGGACTTCCAAAACTATGTTGAATAATAGTGGTGAGAGTGGACCTCCTTGTCTTGTTCCTGATCTTAGAGGAAATGCTTTCAGTTTTTCACTGTTGAGAATGATGTTTGCTGTGGTTTTGTTGTATATGGTCTTTATTATGTTGAGGTAGTTTCCCTCTATGCCCACTTTCTGGAGAGTTTTTATCATCAGTCGGTGTTGAATTTTGTCAAAAGCTTTTTCTGCATCTACTGAAATGATCATATGGTTTTTATTCTTCAGTTTATTAATATGGTGTATCATATTGATTGATTTGCATATATTGAAGAATCCTTGCATCCCTGGGGTAAATCCCACTTTATCATGGTGTATGACCCTTTTAGTGTGTTATTGGATTCTGTTTGCTAGTATTATGTTGAGAATTTTTGCATCTATATTCATCAGTGATATTGGTCTGTAATTTTCCTTTCTTGTAGTATCTTTGTCTGGTTTTGGTATCAGGGTGATGGTGGCCTCATAGAATGAGTTTGGGAGTGTTCCTCCCTCTGCTATATTTTGGAAGAGTTTGAGAAGGATGGGTGTTAGCTCTTCTCTAAATGTTTGATAGAATTCACCTGTGAAGCCATCTGGTCCTGGACTTTTGTTTGTTGGAAGATTTTTAATCACAGTTTCAAGTTCCTACTTGTGATTCATCTGTTCATATTTTCTATTTCTTCCTGGTTCAGTTTTGGAAGGTTCAACCTTTCTAAGAATTTGTGCATTGATTCCAAGTTGTCCATTTTATTGGCATAGAGGTGCTTGTAGTAGTCTCTTATATTGCTTTGTATTTCTGCAGTGTCTCTTGTAACTTCTCCTTTTTCATATCTAATTTTATTAATTTGAGTCCTCTCCCTCTTTTTCTTGATGAGTCTGGATAAAGGTTTATCAATTTTGTTTATCTTCTCAAAGAATCAGCTTTTAGTTTTATTGACCTTTGCTATTGTTTTCTTTGTTTCCATTTCATTTATTTCTCCTCTGATCTTTATGATTTCTTTCCTTCTACTAACTTTGGGTTTTGTTTGTTCTTCTTTCTCTAATTGCTTTAGGTGTAAAGTTAGGTTGTTTATTTGATATGTTTGTTGTTTCTTGAAGTAGGCTTGTATTGCTATAAACTTCCCTCTTAGAACTGCTTTTGCTGCATCCCATAGGTTTTGGGTCATTGTGTTTTCATTGTCATTTGTTTCTAGGTAATTTTTGACTTCTTCCAGTGATCTCTTGGTTATTTAGTAATGTATTGTTTAGCCTCCATGTGTTTGTGTTTTTTACGTTTTTTTCCCTGTAATTTATTTCTAATCTCATAGCGTTGTGGTCCAGAAAGATGCTTGATATGATTTCAGTTTTCTTATATTTACCGAGGTTTGATTTGTGACCCAAGATGTGATCTGTCCTGGAGAATGTTCCGTGTGCACTTGAGAAGAAAGTGTAATCTGCTGTTGCGCCCCTCCTATAATCTCATTGCAGCTTCTCCTTTGTCTTTGGATGTGCGGTATCTTTTTTGGTGAGTTCCATTGTCTTCCTGTTCAGCAGTTAGTTGTGATTCCGGTGCTCTCACAAGAGGGAGTGAGCGCATGTCCTTCTACTCCGCCATCTTGAACCAGTCTCCAGGGGGAGGTCTTAGAAGTTCAGGAAAACATGAAAATCTTGTTTCCAACAAATATTTTAGGACACTGTCCACATCTCTCTTCAATAATCTCCCTCTTTTTAGGACTTTTAATATTATTATGATAATATCAAACCTCAGATTTTTGGTGTCTTTCTGAATATTCAGTTCATGGACTAGTTGATTTAGTAATGTAAGACAACCTAAAATACTAGCAGGATAGAGCTAGGGCAGAAGGCTTTCCTCTAACTGGGAAACATCAAGAAAACTGAGAGAAAAGGGCCATGGCTAGGAGATGGAGGGCTGTTTGTGGCAAGGTTGTCACACCATCCCTGGAGCAGCCCATCTTTGAGGCGTTGGAGAGACGGAAGGCTGGAGAGGTCTGGGGAAGTTTCCTAGAGCATGTAGACTTGCGCAAGCCAGTGAACATGAGACAGAAAACAACCTCATATCTGGAGCAAATTTCAGTCTTCCAGTCTGGTTTTCTCTGTACTTGCTGCCTCCATTTATCAACAAGACACATTGCTGCCTCCTGGGCTTCTGAGTGCCCCCACCCTGTGGGCAGGAGATGGAGATATCAGACTTGACATTCCTGGCTCACAGGGGCAGACCTGTCTGGCGGGCCACTTGCTGCCTGTCACCTTGGCTCAAGGGAGGGTCCCGCTGCTCCTGGGAGAGCCACCATTTGTTGCCTGCTAAGAAATTGCTTTTCCAATAAAAAGAACAGGGCAGCTTTAATTTGGTAATCTGGAACAGACTCCAAGATACACTGATAAGTGAAAAAAACAAAGTTCAGAGAGTGTGTGTAATACACTATCATTAGGGGGAGAAGAAGGAAGATTATTTATTTGTACATGCTTATTTGCATATATGTAGAATATCTCTGGAAGAACACACAACAGACTGGAACTAGTACTATGTTTAAGGAGAAGTGAGTGGCTGGGAAATAGGGATGGGAGAGATATTTTTTATGTATACCTTTTTTGCATTTTGAATTTTTTACCATGTACATGTTATAACTGATTCAAATAAATGATTATTTCCAATCAAAGCAATTTATGCAGCCACTAAAAGTGGTATTTATGAAACACATGTAATAACGTAGTTTATAATATCATTTTAAATGAACCATTATATGTATGCTAACCTAAACAAAACTTAACAACCTCATCATTTACTAACAATAAGCAAAACTCTTAGGTATATAGAAAAGGACTGGAAGGAGATGTACCACAAGGTTAATGGTGATTTCTGAAACTATAGGTATTTTCTCCTTTTTTTTCATTATTTCCAAATTTTCTTTTATTATATCTTTTATTGTATAATGGTGAAAAAGATAAACCTTAGAACAAAGAAAATAAATTGCTTTTCCTTTCCAGGTTGCAGCAACTGAGCTACCCAGGAAAGGACTAACCTGTCCACTCCTTGACTTGTGGTCTTGACTCCCCTTCTGGCTGCAGGGGTAGATTTGAACCAGAGATGAGGCCTAGAGGCATTGGGAAGAGTCGAACAAAGAAAGAAAAAGGAAGGATGTCAGCTGCTTTCTACCTGATGGATTTTCTTCACTTTCATCACAGATGTGTGTGGGAGTGTGGGAGTCAGGTATTCCTGGCTGAATATACCTGCTCCTTGGAGCTTTCTCCATCTACTGTGCTCCAGCCTCCTGGATCACCAACTCTTCTAGGTTCTTTCTCGTTTGTAGCTCATCATGTCATATTTAACTCCTATACTGTGCCCATCTCTTTTTTTTTGGCCATGCCACGTGGCGTGTGGGGATCTTAGTTCCCTGGCCAGGGATCCAACCCGTGCCCCCTGCAGTGGAAGCGTGAGTCCTAACCACTGGACAGCCAGAAAGTCCCCAGTAGTGCCCATCTTGATTCTCGACTTGTGGGTGGATCTCCTCCTGTAGGTCTGTCCCCTCCTGTGCTACAAGTCCCAACCTCCAGCTCTGCGGTCTTGTATTGTCAGCTACCTCCGAGTTTCTTGCGGAGTGCTCCAAGGTGCATTAAACAGGTTTGGAGTAAATGTGAGGTTCCCCTGCCAAACCTGCTGCCAAACTTTGTACTCCTCAGTTCTGTTAATAGCATTACCACCCATGCAGTTGCCCAGCCAGGGATCTTGGCAGTTCACCTCGACTCTTTCCTCTCCCTCCCTTCTGCCAGTTTTCCTTTTTCTTCCATGCCATCACCTATCACCCTTCATCCTTAGTCTCCCAGCTTTTAGTCCAGTCTATCACCAAGCAGCTCTCCTACTTGACTCCCAGCAGAGCTCCATTCATGGGATAAAAACCCAAATTTCTTGCAGGGTAGAAAAGGTTCTTCATAGAATATTCCCAGCCTGCCTCTCTGGCCACATCCCATACCACTGCCTAAATTACACCAGCCTTCAGCTTCTTAATGTTCCTTGGACAAAATGTGTTCTTGGGCTTCCCTAGTGGCGCAGTGCTTGAGAGTCCGCCTGCCGATGCAGGGGACACGGGTTCGTGCTCCAGTCCGGGAATATCCCGCATGCCGCAGAGTGGCTAGGCCCGTGAGCCATGGCCGCTGAGCCTGTGCGTCTGCAGCCTGTGCTCCGCAACGGGAAAGGCCACAACTGTGAGAGGCCCTCGTACCGCAAAAAAAAAAAAAAAAAAAAAAAAAAAGTGTGTTCTTTACAGCTCTGTACTGTAGTGCATGCTGTTCTAATACTTAGCAATCTTCTACTTTTCCTGCAGAATTACCTGAATTATCACCTCCTCCCTGAAGCCTTCGCAACTTCCCCAGGCAGTATCTGCAACTCCCTCCTCCGTGTGCTTTGTCCAGGCCTTAATCCTAATCCTACTGCAAGACAGAGAATGTATAGTACTCTTTTTTATATTCCCAGAACTCTCCTTACTCAATGCCCAATGCATAGTAGATGCTCAAAACGTTGAATGAATTAATGAAAGATTTGCATTTCTTCTGTACTCCTCATGTGTTATACTGGCCTTCAAATGTTTTGAAGTCACTGGGCAACACAGAGCCATGGATAAGAGGAGCACAGGAAACTTCCCTTTCACCGGTTTCCCTGGTTCTTCCCCTCCAGCCCTTTCCTGCTTATCTTTCAAATCAGCAGACCTGGGCTCCCTGGGTGGCGGTATGCATAATAAAACACCTAAGCTTTGATTTGCCTCTGTTCTTAATTTTCATCCTATTTATTCTTTGGGAAGTTTTGATAAATAAGCATGAATTCTTTCTTGGCATGAGGCTGCAAGTGGAGTAAGAGGATTCTATTACATCTAGGAATCATCCGAGCAAACAGAGAGAAGGAGAGCATCAAGATTGTGCTGGAAGAAAAATGGCCTTCAGGCTCTTGGAAGAGTTGCCCACCCTGATCCTCTGGCTTTGATCTCCAGGCTCCATTAGAACAAGGTATTAGCTTTAACCAGCTCTTTGTTTCTACACCACGATTCGAATGTCGACAAAGGGGTTGTACTTAGAAATACTAAAGAATAACAACAACAAATTGCTGTCAAAGTAAGACATAACACAACATTAGGGATGGGTCCTTATCCAGCAGAGACATGAAGCGGGAGCAGCCTTGGCTGTGATCTACCTACACAGGGGAGGAGGTAATCCCCTCCAAGGGAACCTTGAGCCACGGCCCCTGCTGACCAGAGGAGACCCAGACCGAGGACTTCCTGAAGGCAGGTGCTGTGGCCACACCTCCAGAGGAAGATCATCACGTGGACAGAGTGGGGACAGGTAAGGGTGGAAGCCACCATCCCAGAAATCGACCACACAGGTGTACCAAAGGGAATTGTTGGGATGAGACGCCTAGTTTCTAAGTACTTCCCGTCTCCTCACCACACACACACACACACACACACATACACACACAAACACACACACACGGTCACAGTCATGTACTCTTTCTTTTCTTTTCTAATTAATTTATGGCCGTGTTGGGTCTTTGTTGCTGCACGCGGGCTTTCTCTAGTTGCGGTGAGCGGGGGCTACTCTTCATTGCGGTGCGCGGGCTTCTCATTGCAGTGGCTTCTCTTGTTGCAGAGCACGGGCTCTTGGCGCGTGGGCTTCAGTAGTTGTGGCACGTGGGCTCAGTAGTTGTGGCTTGCGGCCTCTTGAGCGCAGGATCAGTAGTTGTGGTGCATGGCTTAGTTGCTTCGAGGCGTGTGGGATCTTCCTGGACCAGGCCTCGAACCCATGTCCCCTGCACTGGCAGGCAGATTCTTAACCGCTGCACCACCAGGGAAGCCCTATGTGCTCTTTCTTTTGAGCTTTCTTCCAATTCTGTTTCATTGTCTGTGGCCAACTCAGGTAGAAGGTTTTAATAGCCAGGATTGTGTTGCAGAGATATGGTTCAATTTAATTTATGGTTCATATATGTGTATATTTAATACACATATATGGGGTGGGAGAGAAAAAAAATGATAATACAAATTTTTCTCAGCCCAAGATAACCCTTTAGCAGACAAACCACAATGATGTCCAAAGAACACACCTCGGGACTTCCCTGGCCGTCCAGTGGTTAAGACTCTGAGCTCCCAATGCAGGGGGCCTTGGTTTGATCCCTGGTCAGGGAACTAGATGCCACATGCCACAACTAAAGATCTGGCACAGCCAAATAAATAAATAAATATTAAAAAAAAAAACCAAAACCCTCTTCTAGCCCAGCAAAGACCAGTGCTAAACTTGGTCTTTTGAACCTTCTCTCTTTCATTCCTAAACTTCAGAAGACTTCTCTTCTGACCACCTCCACTCCTCACCACAAACTCACTCATCACTTTGCAGCGTGGCCCCCCCCTCCACTTCTTTCCTGAGAAGACATGCAGCCTCCTGAATCTTCTCAGACTGTGTGCTCTTCTTCTCGGGGAGAATGGCAGTGCCAGCCACGGGATGGGGAGGTCAGTGGTCACTCATTTACTGGCTGTGAAACCTTCGAGTGCTCTTTGCCCCTTTTGTCCACGTCCCCTTCCCCTCACCATCCCATCATCTAATGAGTTGCCAGGTCCCACTGAGTCCACCTCACGTTCTCTCTAACGTCTACCAACCCTCGTCATCCTCATTGTCTTGGCAAAGCACAAAAGTAGGAAAGGGGACGCTGCCACCATTAACCCCAACTCTCCAACCATGACCTTCCTCCTGTCTGTATTCATTTCCTAGGGTTGCCGTAACAAATGTCACAAACCGAGTGCCTTAAAACAACAGAAATTTATTGTCATAGTTCTGGAGGCTGTAAGTCCAATATCAAGGTGTCAGCAGGTGGGTTCCTTCTAGAGGCCCTTGAAGAGCATCTGCTCCATGCCGCTCTCCTATAGCTTCTGGGAGTTGCCGGCAATCCTTGGTATTCCCTGGTTCCTATACCCACGTCTCTCCAACCTCTGCCTCTGTCTTTATAAGACATTCTCCTCTGTGTGTGTGTATTTCTGTGTCTCTGTTTTTTATGAGAATACCAATCACTGAATTTAGGATCCATCCTAATACATTATGACTTCATCTTAACTAATTTCGTCTGCAAAGACCCTGTGTCCAAATAAGGTGACATTCTGAAGTTCCTGGTGGGCATGGACTTTTGGAGGAGACTGTTCAGCCCAGCACAGCGTTTCTCCAGTCGTCACAGTCCCACTCCTCCTACACTTCCTCTTTTCGCTCACGGGGACCTTCAGTCTCACTGTCTCCCTGCTTTGTCTGAGTGTGTCAGTCTTACGTCCTCCAACTTTCCTATCCAGGCTTGACCACACAGTTGATGACCTGAACCTTAACACCCTGCCTCCGACTTCCTGTTATTCACCCTACAGTCTGTCTCCCTCAATGGGACGCAGCGGCTCTGTAGTTTGCTGAAAGAAACTGCACACCCCTGAGGTCTAGGGCCCTAACAAAACCTCTGTTTCCAGCGGCAGCCAGGCCCTCTATGCCCATCAGCAGTGTTCAATGACTCTTGCAAAGCGTCACCTCTCTCTCCAAGCCCCACACGACCCTCCTTCATTCTGTCTCAGGAATGGACTCCCCACTTCATGGAGAAAATTGAGCCGGGAAGCTACAAGGACCTGAAAACCCTGCTCCCCTTCCATTTAACCTACATCTCCAGCTAAGCTCACCTCCTCCCTGTCACAGGAAGCGCTGCCCCCTCTGCTCAGGCCCATCCAGCTCCCTCACAGCCCCTAGGGGGAACTTGCTCCTTCAGCCAACTCTGCTCTGTCTCTCAGCCTACACCCATGCCCAAGTCACTCTGGTGTTAAAACACACCCTCCTCTTAGCCTGTTTTCTTTTAGCTAATTCTCAATCTCTCTCAGTAAGAGCTGCTTGAAAGATAGCCTCTGTGGTAAACACACCCTCCCTTTCCGTTGACTCGGAAGACACTTGCCCCATGGAGCATCCCCATGGGATGCGGTCACTTCCCCCGCCCGTCTCCTCTAACCCCCAGTGCTCCTTTGTACTGCTGTCCAGTTCGGTGTCATCGTATCTTCCAGATTTGCACTTGCAGACATTTGATAACTATTTGTGGCATGTGTAAAGACTGTAAAGTCAGCAGGTTCTGGGCCACACTGTGTTCCTCTAGGCCCAGTTAAAGTGTCCGTTTTCCTCAGACACCTTACCTGGACGAACGGGACGGGCTGAGGGAGACAGCAGCAGCGTAACAGGACAAGTAAAGAGACCCCGTCTCCCAGCGTCTCCTCCCTGTGGGGGCCGCCCTGTCAGTGCCTTCAATGAGCAACAGCTAGTGGCAGTGTGGCCGGGGAAAGGTGGGAGGGGACTGGGAGGGTGGCTCTCTCAACGGTGCCAATGCCCTGCTTACCTCCCTTCTGATCTGGGGCTTACCTGCGCACAAGATGGCAGAGGAAACGTGAATTTCACTTCACACGTGGCCTGGCGGGCCCAGCCTTCGCCAGCCCACCCCTTCTCCCACACCTCCACTGTAACCTCTCCCCACCTCCACATCCGGGTCTCCTCTCCTATTCTCTGGGGTAAGAAAAGCCACCCATAATTAAACACAGTATGTCAGGCTCTGAGCCACGCGCTTTACGTACCACTTCCTTAACAGCAACCCAGTGAGTTAGGCATTATTTCCCCCATTTTACACACGAGAACTTAAGACTTAAAGAGAATAAGTAACTTGCCCAGAGTCACACTGCTCGTCAGTGGCAGCACAGAGCCCCAAACCCTGGCCCCGATGCTTGTAGTCAGCCCCTCGCCCAGCCTGTCTTCTTGTTTTCCAGAGGCCAACCTCGATCTCAGTTTGCACCTGATCTCATGCATAATGGTTCTGGGGTGTGTTTACCAGGCGTGAGCAATTCTCCCTCTTTCCATGTGTCTCACCCCCAGTTCTCTCTTCCATTATCTATCACAGAAATACACGAGGGGCGTAGATGGAGAAGGAGGGATTAAAAAGGGGGCAACAGATAAGAGCTCTTACCAGATTCCCTCCTACTTGACTAAGGACAAGGACTGGGGCTATGTTCTGTTTTCATATCTCTAATGCCCATAAATGTGTGCTGAGAGAAGGAATACACTTTTACTCCTGATCAGAATCTACAGGCACATTTATTTGCCTCGGTGGTGAAAGATGTTGTGGAAGACCCTAATCTTGACACTCTTCCTGCCACATTATTGGAGTGTCATTTCAACAGGGCACAGTCCTGTAGATGCCCTGGGAGAGGGAGGCCTTTGAAGTCTTACGGATGGTTTAGACATAAAGTTTTCATGATGATTTAATGTGGTAATTTAGGTAAAACCTGGCACAATCTTTATTAACAGGGAAGAGGTTAGTGAAGTAACAAAACATATAATGGCAATGCTAATCCTCTACAGTAGTATCCAGATGAATGAGGCAAAGGGGGTGGTCAGTAACTTTTGTGCCACTTGAGATGGCCGTTTTTTCTTAACGTTGTTCCAGCCACGGAATGTGGCACAGATAGAAACCCATCAGACGCTGCCACTCCACTGCTCTTATGGCGCGCCATCGTCCTCAGAATAAACCCCCCTGCCTCTGACTTCAAGCCCTTCTCCCTCTGCCTCCTGCCTCCAGGATCTCATCTCACACCCTCTCCCTCTCTGGTCTCTTGGCTGGGGGAGCAGTATCTCCTTCCCTGATCACCCAGTGGTGTCTTTGTTAGTCTTTTTTTTTTTTTAAACCACTGTATCCTCAAGAATGCCTGGCAGGACTTCCCTGGTGGTCCAGTGGTTAAGAATCTGCCTGCCAATGCAGGGGGCACGGGTTCGAGCCCTGGTCCAGGAAGATCCCACATGCCGTTGAGCAACTAAGCCCGTGCGCCACAACTGCTGAGCCCACATGTCACAACTACTGAAGCCCGCATGCCTAGAGCCTGTGCTCTGCAATAAGAGAAGCCACAGCAATGAGAAACCTGCACACCACAATGAAGAGTAGACCTCGCTCGCCGCAACTAGAGAAAGCCCACACACAGCAATGAAGACCCAACGCAGCCAAAAATAAATAAATAAATAAATTTATAAAAAGAAGAAAAAGAATGCCTGGCAAATATATGTTCAATAAATAGTTGTTGACAAGTGCAGGAAGGAACTGGACCATTGCCACTTTAGGTGGGAAAGGTAGGTCTTGTTTTCTTGGAGTCTTCTCTGTCCTCAGGGCTATTTTCAAGGTGATGCTCTGGAACATTTTAAAATTTTGGTGGATCTGGAAGGTACTTAAAAAAAAAACAAAACACCTTTCTGTTTGTGAGGCTAGTAGATAATTGCTTGAAATATTTTTAGCAATCCCTGAACAC